GAGAGGAGAATGATATAAGCTGCTTTAGGTCCCCATTGGGGAGACAGGGGGGATATAAATGAAGTAAATCAATAACAAAGCTGAAGAGGTAAGAGGGGCAGATAAAAGAAAGGGTGATTGGTGAGTAGGGAAGAACAGAAGGAAGCAGGGAAAGGGGAGAGGATATGGGGGCTGCCAGAAGCAAAGAAAGGAGGGCATACAGTGGGGAAATGAAGTGACCTCCCCAAATTAGTCATGGCTTTAATCAAATTACAAGCAACTGTGAAGAGTTAAGGATTAGGTTTTGTGGTAGCAATAATGAGAAAATGTGGTCATTAAAATACAAAACCCAGAAGGCTGAAAGATGAATCTGGCTCCTAAATTGTGAGGCTGGCTCCTAGAGCCAAATAAAATTTGTGAAGACCTGGCGTAGCTTTCCTTTACAAGAGGCTGCAACCCACTCCAGGTTCTATGCAGAAGACAGACAACTCGTTCTGTACCCAGGACCACGTCTAATTTGTACGCTTTCCATAAATAACATTTTGCATTGCATTTCCTCACGTCCTGCAAATACCAAGCTCCAGTTCGCCGCAGATGTCCTGCATTCATGCTATAGCACAGCTATTCTCAAATGTGAAAAACTTATCCATCCACTAAAAAAAATGAACGAGAGGGACCAAAAATCATGAAAGTGAATACACAAATGACTTCAAACTTGCCTTTACTCCCTTTGTTTCATCCAAACATTTACAAATGAATATGAGAGAGAATGATACTCCTTATAATTCTAGACAGGAAGCAAAAAATTGCGTTCAATTTAGAAAGCTCCAGTCCTAAGAGAAGCTGGCCTCTTTGCTCTGCACCAGCTCTACAAACAACATAAACAACTCTGCTGCCATAGGATGTGGTGATGGCCAAAGGCACAGCCAGCTTTAAAAGGGAATTAGATAAGATTATATCACTGGCCTTGGAGACTGAAGGAAACCTCCACGTTCAGAGGCAGTCAACTTCTGAATACCAGTGCCAGGAGGCAACATCAAGGGAAGGCCTCGGCCTCTATGCCTTGTTCTTGGCCCTCCAGAGGAACTGTTTGGCCAATGTGTCAACCAGGATGCTGGGCTAGATGGACCACTGGTCTGATCCAGCAGGGCTCTCCTGATGTTCTTATGGAGTAGACCAGCTTGAGGGCTGGCACACGCCAAAGGAAGGAAAAGAAGCAGCGCTGAAGAGCACAGGTGTAGACCTGGTCAACCCTTTGCATGGGAGATCACAAAGCACCTCCAGCAAGGGCGACAGACTAAAATAAATGGCCGCACTTCAAAGAGGAGGAGGAAATTGGATTTATACCCCGCCCTTCACGACCCAAAGGAGTCTCGGAGCGGCTGACAATCTCCTTTCCCTTCCCCTCCCCACAACAGACACCCTGTCAGGTAGGCGGGGCTGAGAGAGCTCCTTCCAGAACTGTCCTTGAGAGAACAACTCTTATCAGAACTATGGCTTGCCCAAGGTCATCCAGCAGCTGCAAGGGGAGGAGTGGGGAATCAAACCCAGTTCTCCCAGATTAGAGTCCGCGCACTTAACCACGACACCAAACTGGAGAGTCTACACCAGCCATGGAGTGAGTTTTACAGTGTCCCATCACATTACTGTAGCAGACACACAACGGCCTTCAAAGACTGACAAAGGTATTATGGCGCAGCCTTCTATGGATGAAGGTCCACTTCTGCAACTGATGCTGTGTCTGATAGCACTGAGAGAATAGCCTAAAGCAACCTTGCAAAGTTGAGGCCAATGCGAGCTTCGGACCGGGGAATTCTGGACGCTTAGGTGCTGCATGACACCAATTCACAAAGGGCAAGCTTATCCATATTCTTCCTCCCCAACACTCCACTGCTTTGGCTTCTATAACGATGGCCTTCATAACTTCCAGACCTGGGACCTACAGACAAGGGGTCCAATGAGCAGCTAGCATGTGACAGGAAGTCATGTGCCAGGAAGCCCAGAGGGATGATCTCGCCAGGACCACGGGCAATGGTCTAAGAGGGCCTCAGACAGGAGATGCAAACAAAGCAATTCAGGAGGGGTGCTGAAGTGAGAATCAAGCCAAGGGTCAGCGCCACAGAGGTATCCTCTCCCTCAAATGACTTCACGTCACCATTCTGCTGATCTTTGCAGCATGCATCCAAGGAGAGGTGGGAAGGATCCTTGCTTTCTATGCAGCCACTGACTACAGTTAACAAAACAGGGAAGGTTTTGCAAGTTGGTAATACTGATTTTTTTTCCCGTCGAGACATAAACGACTAAAATACGCGGTACAGCCTAGTAAAGTACTGTACAAGTTAATAACTTGTTTAAGCTTATTTGCTGGACAGGGGCTACGAAATCAGTAAGGGTGGGTTGCTCTGGGGAGAACTGTAGCGTTCATCTCTCTCATGCACACTTCAGTCCACGCGCGGCAAGTTGGTAATACTGATTTTTTTTTCCCGTCGAGACATAAACAACTAAAATACGCGGTACAGCCTAGTAAAGTACTGTACAAGTTAATAACTTGTTTAAGCTTATTTGCCGGACAGGAGCTATGAAATCAGTAAGGATGAGTTGCTCTGGGGAGAATTGTAGCGTTCATCTCTCTCAAGCACACTTCAGTCCACGCGCAACTTCTACTACATGGGTAAAGCACTGGGTTAATAATGGACGGAAGCAGGAGACGGCGCTAGAGGCACAAAACAGAACCAGAGCTAGTTCAATACCCAAGTGACTCACCCGGCCATTTCGGGTGCTCAAGTGGCAGGGGAGTGCTGATTGGCATGATTTGCGTCAGTCATTTCCAGTGCTCCCTCTAAGCTGAGTTATTTATTTATTATTTATTTCATTATATTTACACCCCGCCCTCCCCGTGAGCAGGCTCAGGGCGGCTTACAACAAGGCACAAAGTGCATACAGTATAAAAAGATAAAACAGTTAAAATTCAGTACAATCAGGATGCAAGAATAGAAAGATCCAAAACATCTTGCATACCAGAAGGGGGAGGGCCAGGGCCGTAGATAGAAGTTACTCGCCCCTCCGGTAAGAAAGTTAGCGTGAGCTAGCTCACAGTTTTTTTAGCTTTCAGCTCACACATTTTTGCCTTAGCTCAGGAAGGAGGGCTCCAGAGCAAACTAATTTATGCAGCAGCCAAATCACCCGCTCACAACTTTAATGCCAGTCGCTCGCAAAGTAAGACTTTTTGCTCACAAGACTCCACAGCTTAGAGGGAGCAATGGTCATTTCCCCACCACTGCCACCTGGCACTTCTGTAAGCTTTGGGGATATGGCAGAGGACAGACATGACACTGCACGACCTGCCAATACCGCAGCCTGGTGAAAACACGGATGTGATGTCAGCCGATGCTCTGGGAACTCTCCAATATCGCCGTGGTTTCCAGAAGGCGGGCTGACACCACGCCTGGTTCTTTGGCCAGCCAGGAGGCTGGCACTTCGCAGAACATCACTTCTGCCCCTCACTGTTCTGCCAGCCCCAGAAGTGAGACTAGGTAGGGGTGGGAGGGCAACCTCCGGAGCCATGGTGGGAAAATGCCCACCTGAAGTGGGCGACCAACACGCCTTGGCACACCACACTGTGCCGCCGCTGCCTGGGTCCAACACAGGCAAGAGAGGCACGGCAGCCTATAGCACGAGAGAAAGTACTACCTGCCCACTGCCACTGGGCTTGGGGACCACTCAGGTGGCGTGCACCCCAATGCATGCATCTGCAACACCTCTGGGCTGCAAGATGGGCTCAAACTCTGTGTGGGTTATGGGTGAGGCGTGTATCCACTGAATATGAGCTTTAAGAGTCGTGGCGCGCGGTGGCGTGGCGACGCGGAGGAGCCTGCGGGACGAAACCAGAGCTGCGGCTGGCGCGTTGCCGAGCACCGGGTGAAGCCCACCAGAAGGAGCCGCGGATTAAGACCTGTTCCGGACACCAGGAAGTGAAGCGCCGAAGAGCTGCCAGGGACTGAACAACAAGCCGAGCCAGAAACTGAAAGACAACTGAGCCCGCGGCCGGGGTGCCTGGTAGGTTATCACCCCCCATACAAATAATGTGGCCCTAGTTATGGATAAACAGCTGTGTAAACCGCTCGGAGACCCTTTGGGGTCAGAGCGGTATATAAGTCGGAAATTAAATAAATAAATAAAGACACACCAGGAGCCGGGACGGGTGGTACCACTAGAGGTGTCCCCCCCCCTTCCAGTCATGCGGCTGCCACCAATGGGCTCTCAAATGGATTTTGGTGACTCCTCCTCCTGTGCGGCCCTGCAGGCTCCAAGCCTGTCTCCTAATCACGCTTCCTCTTATGCACACTTCCGGATCTCTGCTGTTCGTTTTGGAAAGAGGAGGAAGTGGAGGAGATTGAATTTATACGCCGCCCTTCACTACCCAAAGGACTCTCAGAGTGGCTCACAATCTCCTTTCCCTTCCCCTCCCCACAACAGACACCCTGCGATGGAGGTGGGGCTGAGAGAGCTCTGAGAGAACTGCTCTTGAGAGAACAGCTCTGAGAACTTGTGACTGACCTAAGGCCACCCAGCTGGCTACACGCGGAGGAGTGGGGAATCAAACCCGGTTCTCCCAAATTTGAGTCCACGCTCTTAACCACTACACCAGAGAGAAGCGCTGCAGGTCTAGTGAGAGCTATGAATGGCACCAACCATGCCAGCAGCCTCTGTTCGTGCCAGGTTGGCCCCTGCTGCCAATTTGGCTCTGTTTGCGTGTTGAACCATCTCCGGATATACCAGGTGAGGAAACGGGGTGTGAGAAAGTCTTCGCGTCAAGGGAGATGCCAGGATTGCTAACTAGGGTGGATAAGGTGCCCCGAAAGTGGGTGACACCACCTTTCCGCACCACAGCTGGAAGCCACCAACTGACAGGTCACCCAAAGACAGGCCTCGCAGGCCCGGTGAAGCGGACTGAGGGGCAGAGAAGGCAAGGCGTGCGGGCAACCCCGCGGAGGCACCCAGGAGGCCGGCACGGGCCTTACCTTGACCCGGAACCGAATCATGGCCAGGCGGATGCAGTGGCCCAGGCAGGCGGGCGGGAGGAACCAGGCCCGGGGCGGCGGGGTGCCCTTGTTGCCCACGTGCCCGGCGATGAGCTGGGCGGTCTGCCTCTCGGCCTGGGCCTTCCTGCCCCACTCGGGCAGCCTCTCCTTGCCCAGCCCGCCGTTGAAGATGACGGCCAGCTCCAGCCCGCCCTGGTAGAGGCAGGCCTGCGAGAGGGCGGCCAGGTAGCCCACCATGGCGTTCCACTGGCCCCCGCACACCCAGTCCGTCTGGTAGCCGCCGTAGAGGCGCTGCAGGGCCGAGTCCGCGTCCACCAGCAGCCGGGCCGGGCAGGGGGCGGCGGCGCCGGGGGGCAGGCCCGGGCCGTGGGGGTTGGTAGCCGGCCGGAGGGTGGAAGGCGGCGCAGTAGGCGGGGGGCCCGCGCCCGGCCACGGCCCGGGCCAGCTTCAGCAGGTCCACCGGCACCACGGCCCCCGGGCAGCGCTTCTCCACGAACTCCTGGAAGCCCTGCACCCCCATGGCTCCTCCGCGCCGCTGAGGGGCGGGACGGGCGCCGCTCCCGGGAGGGCCAGCCGGGCGCGGCTCAAGCTCCCGCCGCTTCGCCTCTCACAGCTCCCAGCGGCGGGGAAGGGATGCCGCCGCCATCTTGTCGCTTTCTTCTTCTCCTCCTCCGCCCCCTCCTCTCCCCCCGGCTGGCGCTGCGGCCTGCTGGGAAATGTGGTTCTTACGGGCGCCCGGCTTTCTCTGCGGCCGGCGGGACGCGAGGGGACAGCCGGACTACAGCCCCCAGGAGGCGAGAGCGGGCCGCCGTGTCGTCACGACGCCGTGGCGTTGCCGTAGCGCCGCGCAGGCCGACGGGAGTTGTAGTCCAAGGGGGGAGGTTTCTTACCCAGAAGAGCTTTTGAGAGAAGGGGCAAAGCTACTGCGGCGGGACTCCCGCCCCAAGGAGCGCGGAGGGCATAGGCGGGGGGGGGGGGGGGGAGACGGGCGACGCCTCTGACGTTGGTGGAGCAAAGTGGGTTCCAGGTATTTGGCGCCCCCACGTGGCGCGACCTCGGGCGAGCTAGAGGGAGAATTAGCGCTCGGGTTTGCAAAGGAAAGTCCCGGGGGCTGCTGCCATGAAAACACCCACCTGCCCTCGTGATGGGCAGGGAAAGCCATAGCATGGCGGTGCCCGGCTTCGATCGCTCCCGCGTGCTGCTGCTGCTGGGTCCAGGACAGCATGGCCAGTGGAGAAGAGCCACACGCTCCTCCTCCTCGCCACTCCCAGGGCACCTAGGCTGGCAAAGAGTACAGGCCTTGCCCCTGCCTGCCTGGTGGCAGTGCAGTAGGTGAGGAGTGCGGCCGCGCGCGACGCCTAGCTCCATCCTATGCCTGGAGATCTCCCGGAACTACCGGTGACCTCTGGGTGACAAGACGTCAGTCCCCCTGGAGAAAATGACTGCTTTGGACGGTGGAGTCTATAACCCTTCAGGCTCCACCCCCAAAATCTCCAGGCATTTTCCAACAGATCCAAAAAGCTAAGTGGGGTCATCCCTGGTTAGTACTTGGATGGGAGACCACCAAGAAAGTCCGGGGCAGGCGATGGAAAACCACTTCTCTTGGTGTCTTGCTCTGAAAACCCTTAAGTTAGCTCTGTGATTGGACAGCACTTTCTACTCCCCCCCCCCCCCCAGCCCCTCTGCATCCTTAACTTGTTGTAACTTAGGACATGCACCTACTGCAGCGGATGTTATGTTAAAGCTTTGACGATTGGTGGTCTAAAACAAAAGTCCAGTGCAGTGGAAGCCTTTGACCTTGGCCAACAGATGGCCTCTCCCCCAGGTCCCCTGCACCCACATACCCACGTTGATGCGGCAGAATCTCCTGCCCTCAGCAGTATTCAGACCCAGGCCAAGGCTCAGAGCAGAAAAGCAAAGCAAGTGAATGTCCCAGTCCTCCTGAGATGAAATAGTTGACAGCGGTGATGCTGGCCTTTGGGGAAATTTTGCATTGAGAAGCCTTTGACCTTGGCCAACAGATGGCCTCTCCCCCAGGTCCCCTGCACCCACATACCCACGTTGATGCGGCAGAATCTCCTGCCCTCAGCAGTATTCAGACCCAGGCCAGGCTTAGAGCAGAAAAACAAAGCAAGTGAACGTCCCAGGCTTCCTGAGATGAAATAGTTGACAGTGGGGAAATTTTGCATTGGGAATTTTATGGAAAGTTTTGCTCTGCAGATGGATTGCAGAACATTTTCAATGAAGTGCATGTGTCCCCCCCCCACCCCCCCGGCAAGTGTCAAAACAATCCTATAAAATAGATTGGTATACCATCTTTCAGGATAATATATGCCATCGTATATGAACAATGCCTTTCTCTCTGCCATGGGCAAACAGGCCAGCCTCTGTTCCAAAGAATAAATGGATATAAATCTGACACTGAACACACATGAAGCAGCCCTTAGACAAATCCGACTATTGGTCCATCAAGGTCACTATTGTCTACTCAGAATGGGTGTGGCTCTCCAGGGGCTCAGGCCGAGGCCTTTCACATCACCTACTGCCTGGTCCTTTGGAGATGTCAGGGATTGAACTGGGGACCTTCTGTAAGCAAAGCAGATGCTCTGCCCCTTCCCTAATGACAACTCAGTGTTTTAGAAACCAGTGGGTTAACGTCTTAAATTTTCTGTTGCTTTTCTAAATGGATCCACGTACCACATTTCAAACCGCACTTTCTAATGTGAGGTCTGATTTTACGTTAATCCTGTTTACCCATCGGAAGTTGGGAGTGGCCCTCACACAGTGATTACTCTCTTGGTTGGATCTCGTTCTAAATCGGATCCTCTTGGTACCGTCTCTCTCCCGTCTCTACCTGTTGTTTTGCAGCTTTGGGCTTAACGGTATCTGCCTAACTGATGAGCAGACTGACCTGGGCAACCCAGGCAAGCCCGATTTCATCAGATCTCAGAAGCTAAGCAGGGCTGGCCTGGGTCAGTACTTGGACAGGAGACCACCAAGGAAGTCCAGGGTTGCTACGCAGAGGCAGGGAACGGCAAGCCACCTCTGTTCAGCTCTTGCCTTGAAGACCCTACGGGGTCCCCACCCACCAGCTGTGATTCGATGGTACTTTCCACTATGCAGTGGGTGAACACGTTTATGCACTTACCCTTTCCCCCCCCAGTTTATGCATCTTACGAAGTGATCTCTAACTCATGAAAACGTACACTAGAAGAAGTGCGCATCGCACAGACGTTTATGCCTTGAGTCAAACTTTGTTGCTTGTAAAGGTGTCACTGGACTCAAACCTTGTTCTAAATTAAGGTTTGTTAGTCTTTAAGGTGCCACTAGACTCTTGCGTACAGACAAACCTGACTAGCCATCTGGAATGTTTAATTTGTGGGTTGTTTTCAACATGAAATTACAGACGCTGAGTTCAAAAACAGTCAAACTGACTAGATCATTAATATGTATGTTAGCTTTCAATTTGACATGTTCATAGCAGTGTTCCCTCTGTTTTTGGTATTTTTGGCCACTGTGGGACAGAGTGTTGGACTAGATGGACCACTGGCCTGATCCAACATTGGCTTCTCTTATGTTCTCTAAGCTGAACTAGCTCAGAGTTTTTTACCCTCTGGCTCACACATTTTTGTCTTAGCTCAGGAAGGATGGCTCCAGATCACACTAATTGATGCAGTAGCCAAATCACTCGCTCACAACTTGAATGCCAGTAGCTCACAAAGCAGAATTTATGCTCACAAGACTCCACAGCTTTGAGGGAACATTGCTTCATAGTGCCTTCATAGTGGTGGCCTGCGGGGGTTGCAAGCATAGGGGGGATGCTTGCCTTGGTTCCACTGTCTGATGGGGGGGTCTGCCCAGGTGAACTTTCCCTGTGAGTTTGCTGTCTTATTTCTGAGCTGTTCCATAGACTCCTGTAACTGCAGCTGTCTTTTCTGGAAAGAGCATTGGAGAGACTTTTTGGGGGAGTCTGTAACTGGGACGCCAGAAATGTAATCCACCCCCAACTTGAAGAGATTGTAAAAGAGCAGGTGGCAGGGTGAGGTTCCCTGTGCATTTGGTGTGTGTAACTTGCAGGGGGTCCATTCTATATACTTTTGAACCTGTGTCTGACATGTCCCCCCAAAAAACACTTCCCTGACTTGACCTTAGTCCTGTTGGGTTCACAGTGCCACAGTGGCACTAGTTCTGCTGGGCACATTGCACTGGTTCTGCTGGGCTTGCAAAAATGCCTCCAACCTTCAGTTTCTACTGCAGAGATTCTCTGGGACTTCGATTCTGTTCTGCATGGCTTCTGTTGTCCTTGCTTTTTTGCTGTTTTTCCCTCCATAGGAGCACCTTCTTTGGGGGGCTGTAACTTGGACCCCATAAATCCAATCCTCATCAAACTTGGAGGGCAAGTAGAGGAGAGTCATCTGGAGATCTCTTGCATGTTTGGCATCTTTAATTTGCACAGGATCCATTCTATACAATCCTGACCCTCATGAACCTGTGCTTGTCATTTCCCCAGAAAATGCTTTCCTGGGGACACCTTCTTTGGGGGAGCCATAACTCGAACCCCATAAATTCAATCCTCACCAACCTTGGCATGTAGGTAGAGGTGGGTTAGCCGGATATCCCTTGTGAGTTTGGTGTCTCTATCATGCTGAGGGGTGTTCTACCATGTCACAAACCTCACAAATGAAACTGGTTTATTTGTGATGTTTCATGGTTCATGAAGCTGGCATACCATGAACCATACCACATTTTCCCAGTTCATGCCCATCACTACTCAACACCAGTTCTCTAGGTGAAATCCATCTGGTTGTCCTCATGAATTACCCCTGCATTGACCCATGTGGATCTATAAGAACCAGATCATCACTGAGACAGTACCCTAAGACCACAATTGTACCTTTAAAGATTGACTACCTCTTTCAATAGTCTTTCAGTAGTCATGTATGGCTGCGAGAGTTGGACTATAAGGAAGGCCGAGCGCCGAAGAATAGATTCTTTTGAACTATGGTGCTGGAGAAGACTCTTGAGAGTCCCTTGGACTGCAAGAAGAACAAATCAGTCAATCCTAAAAGAAATCAACCCTGACTGTTCCCTGGAAGGCCAGATAATGAAACTGAAGCTCAAATACTTTGGCCACCAAATGAGAAGGGAGCACTCACTGGAGAAGAAGACCCTGATGCTGGGAAGGATTGAAGGTCAAAGAAGACGGGGACGGCAGAGGATGAGATGGTTGGACAGTGTCATAGATGCAACGGACATGAAATTGAGCAAATTTCAGAGGATGGCGGAAAACAGGAGGTCCTGGCGTGATCTGTTCCATAGGGTTGCGAAGAGTCGGACTCGACTGTGCGACTGAACAACAACAACAGTCCTTTTTAAAAAATCTTTTATATGTGCATGTGTGAGGCTGTGGTCACACGGTCATTTTGATCAGAGTTTCACTGCCGTTCCCTCTCACATTTAAAATCACTGATCAGGTGCCCACATCCGTCTCCCGCACCAAAGTGGGCTCTCACTCGCACGATCCTCCTGGTTCCCTAGCGAGTTTTCCGACACCGGGAAAATCAAGTACGTTCTGGGGATTTGTGCTTTGAATCCGCGATTTTGCTGATCTGGACAGCCATCTCTCACAATGA